AAGTGACATATATACACTTAAAGTTTATTTTTCTTTCATAAACCAACATATGTTTATAATCACTAGTTAGATTTAAGAAGAAAAATAATTTGTATAATGTTTACTTAAACAAAAAGAAAACAACCCAACATTTTCATCGTATGATGACGTGCAATATCTAACATTTTTCTAGTATGTTTTATTACAAACTATATTTACTCAAATAATTGTTCGTTAAGATTAAACGCTATTGTATTATTTATGATATGAAATACGGTCATGTGCATTTGCATTTTTTTTTAATTCGAATAAAAATTATCTCTGAAATGTATACAGTGATACTCAAAAGTAAGTATCCCACAATAGTTTTAAAATATCAAAATAGACAACCATGATATAGCGGATAAACTTAGTTTTTCAAAATGTTTATATAATATATCCATCAATTTTTAACATTTGCTGTTTTCATCTTTAAAATATGATAAATTTTTTTTGAATTAATAGAAAATATATTGTATTATATAACTCTTAAATAACATTAGGTATATTTTGGTATTCTGGTTACGATATGCTAGTAAAATTGATTAGGAGTTTTTTTTTATTTATTCGGTATATATTGATCTTAAGTATATAATATTAATGATGATTTAAAAATATTGTTAATGATTAAAAATACGAATATATTAATCATCTATGAGATCATAATTCATTAGCAGGAAAATACGTTTAGTTACCATCTTCATACAATAAATAATTAAATACATTTAATACAAGTTAATTATGTTTACATTTAGCTTTACAACTTTTGAAGAAAAAATTAAAATTAACACGAGTATAAATGTAAAAAAATATATTCATCCCTATTTTACCAATAACTCATATACACATGGGTTTCATATTTTTATTTTAGGAGTTTTAATTAAAAACCGTTTTAAAACAGAGCCAACATTTCGATATTAATTGAGCTACATTATATATAGTTATCGTTTCCAAGGACTAATCGCAAGAAAGAAAGACTTCAAAATAATTGGTTAGATGAAATTTTTCGTGATGGGTGGAGGGATAGTGATTTTATGCAGAAAAAAGGGTTAAATAAGTAGGGAGCAAACAATTTCCCAAAAAAAATCCTACTTTCTCTCCGATAATTGTTTTCCTTTCGAATCTTAATTGGATTTTTAATTGCATCATTTTTCCACTTTAAGTGGCCTCAAGAAGATAATGACGTGACATAACCTACGGTATCGTGGCAGCTTGAGGAACAGAGATGCGTAGAAAAGTGGGGAATGAAAAAGGATATCGTCAATTTCGATTTTATTCAATGTAAAAATAAACATAAAATTATTTTTCAATACGTCATAATCGTCTACACTGTAGAGCTCCATAGTACTGTATACAGTCTTAAATATATAAATTTCGATTATCTTAACAAGTGACAAGCGACCAATTCGAGTGTTTTGGAAGAACGATTTTATTTATACTATAAAAACGATGATGATGTCTAAAAATCTAATACGTACGTCAAAAGAATCTGCAAAGAGGGTATTATTAATTTTAACATAATAAATAATTAAAAATATGAATTTTAATCAACTCTAAAATCAAAGTTCACACTAAGGAAAAAGCATTTCATAACCTTATTCATTTAACATAAAAAATTTGTATAGTAAAATAAGTCACCATTAGACAATTACGATTAAAACACCGCTCGATGGTCTCGTTCATCAGTGATTTTAATTTTAATTTTTAGTCTGTACAATGTTTTATCATATTTATGCTTACAAAGCATGAAAAGGTAGCCTAAATTATACCATATACTCCTATTTTTATTAAATAAAAAATAAAAATTAGGTAAAGTTGAAAGGAATTAATTTTCAATTAATATTTCTTTACGTCATTTTTATCATCATCAAGCATCCACGCTATTCACTCAGATACATTGACACGTAATAGACACGAATGTCACACAAAACGCAGACAAGTGAAACGAGTATCGTTCGCCTAACTATGATTTGATTGTCGCTAAATCAAACCATAGTATTAATCGATTCCGTTTTTGATTCAAAAATTCACTCAATATATACTATAACTTTATTGTTTCGACAACCAAATCATTGTTGAAGAAACGGTAAAATCAAGTACGTACCGAAGGAGGATCCTGGTTGGATCGGACCCCCTTAAATTTACTAAAACCTAGGGCTGATCCCTTTAAATTTATGCACAATTTTTTTTTTTTACTAAATATCAAAAACATGCTATGCTTATGGTTTATGCTCATTAAATAAATCTAATATGAAAACCATTCGATAATAAAATTTGTTCTATATCTTATGTATACATATATTATTAATATATTAAATGTTATATTCATAGAAAATGTTAGTTTTTTTTAGACTGTTTAACAATTAATTACAACAATTATTAACAATGAAACAAATAAACTAAGTATAATTTACAACAACTGATTAAAAATAAAATGTTTTCAATTAAACTAAATGTTAAATTAAAAAGCCAGAAGAGATAAATGGTAAATCAAATTACTTGTGGTATTTGGGGAGGAAAGAATGGATATCAAGTTAAAGGGGATCATGCTAGAGTTGAGAAGTTTTAAAAAACTAATATGCTTCGTGGGCAATAATGGACAGTCAAAGACAATATGAGGAATGTCGCAAACAGAAGGAGAGTGATGATGGGTGCAAAGAGGTGAGTCATCCAAAGAAAGTTTAAAGGAACGAGAAAATTTTTACAGTTAAATATTGGGTATTTTTGTTGTAGACATTATGTTAAAAAATAACTAAGTCCTCTATAGGCTGTACGATTTTCTCGCGGAAAACAAATTATAGAAAACGATACAAGGGCCCGAAACCGTTGGCCTTCTGATGAAAATGTTCCGGCAATGCGCCCAGGTAAAATATACGCTCGTACGTACTATTCGCCCGACTTTTCGAACAACGTTTCGGCTCGACACGCGTTGGACGTTATCCGTAACCGTCGATCGACAAAATGTCTACGCCGACGGATACGTCTGTGCACGTGCTCATAATACGCGCGCGAACATACATATGTATACTTACGATCGGGGATAGGGCCTTACGCGACCCGGTGTACACGGAAGGCAGGGACAATCATGACGACGGGCGACTGTGAGAACTCAACAAAAGTATTTCCAAAAGGATATTTTCTGAAGTAAGCGATCAAGGTCGGGCGAGATCTATGCGGCAGTATCGGTGCGACGAGCACTCGACGGCAGTGGCATTCGAATCGGACGCGCGGCGCGAGATTCACTACACGGCGGCGGCGGCGGCGGCGAATACGATGAAGACGACCGAGACGATGATTGCGGACGGCAACAATGACGGAGCGCGCGGAACGCATTGAGACAGCGGCAGCGGGCCAGTCGTCAAACGACCGAACCGCGGTGGTCGCCCCGGCAACGGCGTGAGCGGCGGAAGCGCGTGCGATTTTTCCGAATCGAGGAGGACGCGCGACCATTCCCTCCGCCGCCTCCACTTACCTCCACAGACGGCCACGTCGTGCTCAACATAACGGTGCGATAACAGTAACATACCACGTGCACATAACGGCTCTAAGGTACGCGACAACCTGTACACGTAGGGGGGTCACGTAATGCACTTTGCCGCCGTCCGACGGGTTGGTCGGCCCGATATGTCGGAGCATCAACGTTTAGTACGCAAGCGGAAAGAAAGAATTTCTAAGCTTCCACACCCCGAACCAGCCTCTGTACGCTTGTTCTAAACGTGCCACGTGTAACGATCTTACAGTTTTTGGGCCCGTGATCCCGTAAGGATTTCATCGGCACGAGATATATAATACTTCGTTTGAGCCAAAGCAAAATACAATTCCGAAGATAGGTACGTGACATCGGATGCAATGACGGTAGAACAAGGTTTCAAGTAATCGGATGAAGTTGATCAAATTCTGTCGTGTGCAGTATTTGGATGTGGTAGACGATAGATGTAGGTCTATATCGATCTTGGTCGGTTTTAAGTGGTGGAATCATATTGAATACCTGTACACCAACAAAAATCGGTCAACCACATGAACCATACGAAACACTGACATCGTTAAAAGTTATTCTATCAAATTACAACTAAGCTAATTATATTTTAGGTGTGGTGTACTCAATTAAATCGAGACTTCTGCAATGAAAACATTGATTGGATGTCACTGTAGCCACTTGAATTAGCTGGTAACTAGTTCTCGCGTGATCTACATTCTTTTTCTTACAGTAAAAATGACTATGTTTTGCAAATTCGACGGTAACAATGTCATATCTTTCTGAAATGTAAGCAATAAATTTGATAAATTGACATCCCTGCGAGTAGTTAAACTACAAATAGACACAACTAATTTGTATATTCTACGAAGAACCGATATCTGAATTAAAAAAATATTTCTGACATTTCATCAGACTTTCGTCCATCTATAACGGGTAAGAATATGAACAAATACTATATGTTGCGGCTTTACGTCAGAAAATGTAAATACCGACGACAGTTAATTTTGCCTAGGCATGACAAAGATTTATAATTATGTAATTCAGTAAACCACCACCCCATTCGTTGATTCTGTGTTGTTTATTCTGAAAGCATACCTTGAATACGGCGTAAAATATGATACCAGAATGTAAATTAACCTTTAAATAATTTTACTTAAGCTAAACGTGGATATTAAATCATTATATTTTAACATACATCTACACTTAAAAACTAGAGTATATTTATAAAAATGGACTACTATAAAATGCGCACATTATAATTAGAAGAAAATAATACAGCTTCTGTACGTGAATAAAATATAGTTACGTGAACCGTACAGTTTAACACGAACAATCCATTTTTTTCGAGTATGATTCATCGAGTATAAAAGAAACGAGGTGAAGATAAACATAATGGTATACTGAATGCTAAAACTGAATTTATATGAGCTACTGCAGCAGAAAAAGTTTTAAATGTTAACAATGGTCTTTGCATTCAAACCACGACTCAAAACCAGTGCCGCAACATCCACCCGGGCAGCCGGGGCAATGCCCCGGGGAACGGCCTCCATTCCTATTTTGTGGCCCCTATTTATAATTTTCACAATTTTTAATTTTTATATACCCAGCAATACCTACTGAATTGTGAGAATTTGTGACAACTATGTATACTGTGTAAGATAAAATTAATTTTAAAAATGTTTGTTCTATTACACTATTACAGTAATTATCAAAATATTGATGACTGAAAATTATTATAGTCCGGCATTGATTTATTATTATCGTTTGTTGGAATTTTAACGGGAATCCCGCTATTTACGTCACCACGACGGACTATCTAGCGATTTGTTTGTTTTGACTGTGACACGCCAGTACGCCACGCGCTGATAATCCTATATAACTATATAAGAACTATTCATACGACATACCGTGTATAAATACTATAAATGAATAATATGACGACTGCAAGTGTGGCTAGCATTGTAGGAACACTCGGAATAGTATTAAACAAAATCATCGCGTTCTTTCTTTGGCATTTGCGTACAGCGAGCATTGCGAGGTGCGACTGTGCGATTACCTATATAACTTATTAGTTATTAGTTATTTACTTAGTGACTAGTTTGACTTCTGTTCTTCACTATTATTGTATGTTGTACACTTGTACATTAATAATAATAATAATGGAATCTTCTCAACAACCGTTGAAAAAAATTAGATTGTCCGGTGGAGCAAGAAAAATGTTGAAACAGAAAGAAAAATCTATTAAAGGGAATAGAAGTATTTTGTCATTTATTCAATCTCCAGTTTCTGAAACTGTTATTTCAAACTCGAATTCTGTAGAATTCGAAGATAGTTCTTACCAACTTGAGTCAACGTCAATCCAAGGTAATTGTATGGCTGTATTTAATAAACTATAATTAATATAGAAATTTATATCATAGGTTAGTAAGAAATACATAATTATTGATGGTCACCATGAAATAGTTAATACTATTTTTAATATTCTCAAAATATTTATATTTTATTTATTTATAATTTTATTTAATATATTCAATAATTATATTGTATTTAATTATCAGTAATTTTTTTAAGAATTAAGTATTTAGACAAATATTGATTGGGTACAAATGTAACAGTTTATCTGGGTACAATTGTAACATTTTATATTAGGTTTAGGTATAGGTCTGTGCCTACCTACCTAGTTATGTTATAAAAGCTATAAAAAAGTCAACAATTATGTTTTAAACCATTATGTAAACTAAGTTATAATGTTATATTTCATTTTATTTAATGATATTATGTTATGTTTTTATTTAAATTTTAAATTAAAAAAAGTCATTTTCATGTTTGTTATATATACCTAGTTATGCTATAAGAGCTATAAAAAAAGTCAACAATTATGTTACTAAACCATAATGTTACCAAAGATATATTTCATATTATTTAAAGGTAATTATAATAGTTTTATAATAATAAAAAAGTAAAAATATAAATATGTTACATTTGTCCCTAGCTCTGTTACAATTGTCCCTCTTCGGGGTACAATTGTAACAACTTTTTTTTTTTTATTCTTCATTTATGTAAAAACTTTAAAAATTTTGGGTTTAATACTTACATATTTATAAAGGTAACAACTTGTTTTAAATATTAAAAGTAAAATAAATAAAAAATACTTAAAATTCTTGCAGATATAAGCAATTTTATGAAAAATGTTACAATTGTTCCGGGCCTCCCGGAAAAATATGCATTTAGATACAAATCCACTATCCTCAGAATATGATAAATAAACTAATAATTTTTTAGGATTAGATTTTTCAACTGAATATCCTACTGACCGTGGACATTTTGAAGATATTATAAGCAGTGATATGAAATACAGTATAATGAGTTATGGTCCATGCAGACCTATTATTAACTTTCCTTACTCACCAGATGGTAGTGGAGTTTTAAGAAAATTTTCAGCCAGTTATTACAATATGACAACAAAATCAGGTTTACAAATTCCTCGATTATGGCTTTGTTATTCTATTTTATTAAACCGTGTGTATTGTGAGACGTGTTGGTTGTTTGCAAACAGAAACCAAAAAGGATTCAAAAACAATTGGATTGTAGGGATAAATGACTGGCATCACATGAATGACAAAATTAATGATCATGAAAAATCCCAAACACATATTTATGCCAGTAGTGTTCGACTTCATTGGTCAGAGAATAAAACTATAAATAGACATACGGAAGAACAAATTTCCTAAGAAGCAGATTTTTGGAAAAATGTACTAACCCGAATAATCAAAATAATTTTGTACTTGACTGAAGGTAATACAGCACTCAGGGGAAACGAAGGTAGTGGAAAAAATAAATCCAATAGTGAAGGTAATTTTATAAGAACTGTCAAACTGATGTCTGAATTTGATCCAATTTTATATGAATTGTTAAATAATAAGAGTCTAAAAACAAAATATTTAAGTTGGAAAATTCAAAACGAAATTATAGATTTATTAGCTGTTGAACTTCGCCGTTTATTATGTAAAGAAATAAAAGATTCAAAATTGTTTTCTATTATAATGGATTCTACTTTAGACATTAAAAAAAAAAGATCAATTAAGTGTTGTATTACGTTATGTAGTGATTGATTCCATAAAAAATCTATTGAAATAAAAGAATCTTTTTTAGGTTTTTTTGAATTAAAAAAACATGGTGCTGCTGACTATGAAAATCGGTTGTTTAGTATTTTGGAATCTTATGATCTAAACGTGAAAAACTGTCGTGGACAAGGATACGATGGTGCATCTGTTATGAGTGGCAGTAATAGTGGAGTCCAAAAACGTATCATGTCAGTGGCACCAAATGCACCATTTGTTCATTGCTGCGCACATAATTTGAATTTGGTGATTTCTGATGCAGCCAAAATCACTCAAGTAGCAAATCATTTCTTTGCCACTGTTCAAGCTATTTTTAACTTTTTTAGTTCTAGCGCTCCTCGGTGGGCCACGTTAGCTTTCAGTGAAGACTTTGCTTGCAAAATTAGAAAGAAAGTATTGAAAAAAATATGTCCAACTCGGTGGGAAGCCAGACACGAATCAGTCTCAGCTCTTAAACAACGATATATTGATGTACTTAAGTCATTGATTAACATAAGTTTAATCAGTAAGAAGTCTGACGAACGAAGTGAAGCTCAATCTTTACAAAAAAAAATGGAATCTTTTCAATTTGTGTTGATGTTGAGTGTTTGGGAAAACATATTACGACCACTTCATGGTGTTTCAAAAATGTTACAACGAGATATGAATCTACAAAATGCACGAGACAGATTAAAAAATGTTTATTATTTAATAAATGAATTGAGAAATAATTATGAAGATATAGTAAATAATGCCAAGTCATTGTGTTTGAGATGGAGATTACCTGTTACATATACTGAACCTCGTCAGATATATGCAAAAAAAACATTTTGATGAAGTCGATGGAGATAGGCGGTTAACTATAACAACAGAAAACTTTAAAATTAAAGTATTTTATCCTATTATAGATACTGTTTTAATGCAACTTAATATTCGTTTTAAAGCAATGGACAATGTATGTACTACATTTGATTTTCTTAATCCAAATAATCTCTTATGTTTAAGAGAAGATAATATTGTAAAGGAGTCATATGATTTTATTCAAATGTATAAAGATGACATTAGTTCTAATTTTACTGGTCAGATTTTATCATTAAAAGAATTAATAAAAAATAAAAATTTAAAAACTATAAATGAAATGGCCAATTTTATACTTACCAATGATATAGCAACAAGTTACTCGGAAATCTTAGTAGCTTGTACAATATTTTTAACACTGCCAGTTACAGTAGCAACGGCTGAAAGGTCATTCTCGAAATTAAAAATTATAAAAAATTATTTAAGAAATTCTTGTAGCCAAAATCGACTTTCAAACATTGCTATACTCAATATAGAACAAAAGCGGACTTCAGAATTAAAAACAGACAAATTAATTAAAGATTTCTCTAATTTGAAAGCAAGAAAGATGAAATTTGTTTAAAATATTAACATCATATTATTTTTATAAATTGTATAACTTTATTCTATTATAATGAACTTATTTGTTCATGTGTTTTTATTTATAATAAATTAATATGATGGATATTAAAAAGTGTTGTTCTTTACTAAAAAGTATGTTTTACATGTATGAAATACTTTTTAATAAAGATTATGTTTGTTTGTTGAATTTTATCTGACTCCAATAAATGTGTTCACTATTTTAACCCTGGTGCAGTGATGCTAGATAGTGGCCCCTAAATAATCTTTTGTCCTAGGGCTCAAAAATTCTAGTTGCGGCACTGCTCAAAACAGAGTTCGGTATTAATATACAAAAATTATAATATTATGAAAAATTAAGATTTTTAATGCATTTCGGTATATATAAATATAATAAGCATATAACAAAGGTAAATAGCCCATCTCACCACTGAAAATATTCTCTTATCAATGATAATTGAGTACAATTAAGAAATAAGTATACATTTCAAAAATTTTACAATATTTTTTGTATTTCTGGAAAACCTACATCATATTTGACTATAACTCAAAAAAAAAATTGACATATCTAGAAGTAATAAATAATTTGTAAAATAATATAAAAACATAGTGATAGAATATAATATGAAACAACAAAAATACAATGATATATTACGTTAGCTGAAAGTCATTAATACTATTTACCAACCATAATTTAATAGTGTTTTTTTTATCATATATACTATTAATAATTTGCATTGGAATACCATTTAGTAATCTCAAGCCCACTTGAGAAAAGCAAAAGCTAAAATTAAATAAATGAACAATAGGGATTTCCAATTTGTTTTTTACACGTGTGTCATAATATCTAGGTTTAAATTCAATTAAATTAAACTTGTATATATGTTTCAGTCATGAGCGTGTTCAGACTTTGGTGGCCGAGGGGGCACAACAAATTATGACACTAGACTTGACTTTCACTTGAAAGATGCACAGACTGAGTTGTTACTGGAGTTAACATTGTTTAGACTATCCACTTGGACCAATAATTGTTTTTATCAACAACTTTAACTCTGGTAGTTCCTTAAGACATTGATGATAACCATCGTAAAAACACTCGAGAGACCTAGTTTTTAAGGAAAGACACATGTAATATAACATGTAATAACAATTATAATTTTATTAATAGTCGGTACGGGATGACGTACCACCCGTAGCCCGGCGAGCGGTCGTAGGCGCGGTGTTGGTGGACGTCGGCGGGCACGCGTATCATCGTCGCCGTCCGCGACCAGCCGACCACGGACAATTTTTTTTAATAATTAATTTATTAAAAAAAAGGGGAAACTACGCCCCCCCCCCCTCCCAGAAAATCCAACAGTTCAAATAGTACCTTTTATTAATGAACTCATATGGATATTATTTAACAATATTGGTACTTAGTACATGCTACCTACAATTTAAGTTTATCTAAACCATAAAATGAGTTAAAAGACTTATGTAAAATCAAACAATTAGATATGGTGCATAAAACAAATACAATAAAAATGTGAGGGGAAGGTAACATTTTTCGTAACTGTTGATTTTTCCAAGAGCAAAATAAATTATCATCATAGGCGTGTTCAGACTTTGGTGGCCGAGGGGGTACAAAAATATTTAAATTATAAGACTTATATTTGTTTTTTGTTAAGACATGAATAATAAAAATACATTTAAAACTCAAAAAAAAATACGTACAATTTACTACTATACTAAAACTAGGTAATGAGTACAGATCGTATTACTTTTTTTTATCCTGGCACGGTTTTGTTGGAGGAAAATCTCGCCGGGGGGGTCAGTGGCCCACCCGGCCCCTCCCGTAAACACGCCTATGGTTACAGTTAAAGCATTTAATTTCGTTATTTTATAAAATAACTAGGTAATTCAAGAATTACCAACGAATGTTTGTTAAAGTATGAAATCATACGTGAAAATTATACTTTAACTAGTTATTTCATAGAATATCTAGTTATACTAAACAATTTTAGTTTGATATACGTTAAAGTATAAAATACATTAAAATTTAAAATATATTATAACATTTTATTTATTTTAAATTTAATTAATTATTTATTTGTACATACAAGGTTATTGTAGAGGCATACGAATTAACACTGAATGCGTGTGACTGTAAGACTTTTAATAAACTTTAAATCTTACTAATGATATAAATAATCCTAATAATAATACATATACAACGATAATTTTATCTACACGATAAACGTACATAAACACTACAGTCACTAACAACAAAAACGGCAGTTTTATCTAATTTATTGCTATGATGGGTTGTAAAATAACGATATTGTACATGCATGAATATATCAATTTGACACATTAACGAAGTGATGCTAGGGAATGTATTAAATAACTAGTTAAAGTATAAATTATATACATTACCTACACGTTTTAGTTATTTTATAAATGATTTAGTTACTTCATAAACTAACTGATTTAATACTTTAACTGTTACATATACACTATAGCAGTGGTTCTCAAACTATGGTACGCGTACCACTAGTAGTACGCAAAAGGCCGTGGTAGAACGGAAATTAAAAATTTGATATTAAATCTTTTATTAATTTATTAACACTAATAAATTTTTATTAATAAATAAATAGTTATTTTACTGTCTTTATGTTTAAAATAAATGTACTTTATTATGGATAGTTTGTATGATTCTATTTTTAATCATTAGTGGTACGTGACTGATTGATAATATATTCAAGTGGTACGCGAAAAAATAGTTTGAGAATCGCTGCACTATAGGATAGAATAATTATTGTGTTGTAAAAACTTTGAGTTCGTTAATTAGGTCCTTAGTGGAATATGTTTTTTGCTTTGCTTTTCGACATGTGGTCCGACATCCATACATTCATACGTAACATCGTGGTTTAATATTGTCCCCACACACTCGCGTGGTAGCATTATTATTCTAAACAATTTATTCATTATATAACAATGGTGTATAAACGATTTTTTTGCTGAAAGGGAGAAGTAGTTAAGAATATATTTTTTATTAAAATTTAAACTAAATTCCATTTTATTTTATTTGAAATTGTTAAAAACACTATAATAATCATGCAAATATAATAAAATGTATGTAAACATATAATGAAATATGAGAAATAATAAAAATAAATGCTAGTGAGTTGATTATATAATCCAAATAAAATAACGTGTCAATCGGTTAATATAACAGATTAAATAATTATAGTGATATGGCTGAATTAAAGGAGGGTCGGGGCGGCAACCCCGGGGCCCTCTCGAGTACCCAAGTAAAAGGGGCCCAACAATGAAAACAGATATGGTTGACCAATATGCACATGATGTGACCGTGTTCGACGGCGGATTTCATCCCACGCGACTACACCGGAGATGTGATTAATACAAAAAGGTAATACAAAATAATCCAGCCCCTGTGTGCATGCGACCACTGAACCACAGTCACGAACGAAGTTCAGGTTTACAGCAAAGGACACATGAATAAAAACAAATTTCATATTAATGAAAACCGTGTTATTCACAATGGCTGTTGGCAAGTGACCACCCTGGAAAACGGTAGTTATAAATGCAAGGCAATAAACTTGCGCAAAACGACACATACCAAACAGGTGATAAAATTGACACGAGCACAGAAAACGTGGTTTTGACGAAATGGTTGTAGACGAATTAAATTTGGTTGAGTGCATGCGAAGGCGGACAGTAGAAGACGAACGAGATGGTGCCGACGACGTTCACCATGAAGCCTATGGCCACCGGACACCAAAATTACTATAAAATTCCTCAGCGTCACCACAATAAAATGAAAACAACCAAACTTTTTAAACTTTTGTGACACTGAGAGCATGACTTGGAAGAATAGCGAAATATAACCGAACAAACTTGAAAACATGAAATAACAAACACATTTTCATACGACTGATAAAGACGTAAGTACACCATTAGCCGACCGAACGTGAAGGCTGCAGCAGCGTGACGCACTGTTGAGCCGCACAAAAATGATAACACAAACCGGAACAAAGATACTGAGCGATATATGAACAATGATACAAACAGAAAGAACGTTAGTGGCGCCATTGTTTATAAATATTAGTATTATTAATTAATGGTGGCGCAAACAAAAATGTTTAGTGACAAAAATAAATAATTATGCATTATAAATGGGTAAATGGGGTTTTAAATGATTAGGTCAGTTGTATTTAAAATAATAAAAAAATATTAAAAAATTCAAAAATATGTTATTAATTCTATAAAATTACATAGGTAATATGATACAGTACTATTATACTTGTATTACATTTACTATTAAATCCTTTATATTTTCAGCTACACCATTTATAAATATTTAATTACCAGTCCTCGGTCTATAAAAATGGAATTAAAATATGTAACGTTCGTTGACTATTAGGGAAGCAAATTAGACATGTTGTCGAGAACCCACGATCGCAACTCGGACAAAATATAATTTTCCGACAACATTCAAATATATTGAAAATTAATTAATTTATAAACAGTTAATCGCAACAGGATATATTTGGTGCCAAAACTACGACATTATCATTTATACTACAAGATAGGAATTACATAATTATCTTTATTTCAATGAATCGACTATATAAAGATAAATCATTTAGAATAAAAAGGTTACTGATGTGGTTAACAGATAATACTATATCGGCGTACAACTGGCACAGGGGTTGAATATTATATTAAACCTGTCTTTTTTTTTATCTCCATTTTTGGTTTTCATAATATTATATAATTCAGTTACGGTTAATTACACTCAACAGATATTTATACGGTTTATGTACAACGTATATATTTTTAATGTTTTAATACAATTGCTATTATTTTTTTAATTTATACAACTTATCTTAGATAAGAATACTATAAAGTAAAATATGTACATAAATAAGTACATACATAAGTAAGTTTATTCACCTCAAATATTTCTTTAACTCTTTCTAATGATTACCTATAATATATAAAATTTAAATATATATTTTTATTTATTACTTTTTTATATCATAATTTAGAATCTCATTCGCAGGTCTTTGCAGAGAGAGTGACACTATATTAGTTTTGAAAACATTTAGATGCTACCATACGTGTGTATTTCAATTTATTAGAAACAAATAAAAGTCAATACATACATTTGGTATAATAAATATTTTGTATTCAGTTATTGTGTACAAACTCAGCGCATACCTATATTAAATGCTAATAATAATTATTTATTTTTTTCGCTTAACAGTCTCGTATGCGCTACACGGATCCTAAAGCTAAATGTAAACAAATAAATAATGCAATTAAATTAACTTGTAAATATTTTAAGTTACAATCTGTAATTTTCATAACATATTTAGACCATATTTATATATTATATTATATTATATTATATTATATTTTTTATATATTATTTATTTATAACATATTTATTTATTAAAAAAAAAATTAAAAATGTTATTATAGAAATTGTGCACAATCGCAACAATGAGTTACTATCCCAGTTTTATATAATTTTTACATTTATTTACAGTTAAAATAACCTCATGTTTCTAACTAACGGTCTAATATTTATTTACTTATAATAATTAAACGGACGGAGTCCTTATACATAATGGTTTAATTTACAGAAGTAAGAGATTAATCGCCAATAAAATAGGTCTGGTACAAAATGAGAAATATACAAAAATTAATATAGATATTAATTATAAAACTAAAGTTAATTATAAAATACAATAGAATAATCTGGTATAAGACAATATAAGAATAAACATAACTAGTTAAAAACAAATGTATAACTATTACCAGCAATCGTTAACAGATTAGCAGCACAATTACCATAAAGTTTTTGTCGGAATAAACAGGATAAAAAAAGCTCAGGATTTCTGGTGTTAAAAAAATTAATTTTAAAATTGATTAAATAAAGTAAACCTGGACAATCAATCAAGCCAAAAATCAATTTATGGAGAAATTTAGAGAGCAACTGTAAGCGCCTAGTTATAAGTGGAACAACATTTAAATAATTTAAAATATTATCATATGTACCATGCAGTGACCTATATACGTTACTTTTAAAAGACATAAATCGCAAAAAGTTATTTTGTAGAGATTCTGTACTATAATTTTGTTTGGACGTATTGTTCCAAATTAGTGGACAATATTCAAAATTTGAACGAACTCACGAACAATAAAAAATGTTTAAAGCAAAAGGATCACAAAAATCTTTACATGATAATTTCATAAAACCAAGAATACGCATTGCTTTGTTCTTAATTAGTTCAGTGTGATTTTACATTTAGCTCGCAGTTAAGAAAAATGATTGTACTCAAATATATTATTATTTTACTTATAGAATAAATGTGCAATTTTTTTTTTCTTTTATCGGAAAATTAAGCTCATTAGAATACCATCAGATGAATTAAAAACCTTGTTAGAAAATGAGTCTCCTAAATAGTTAATAACATTAACATAATTACAGTTTTTTAAATCATAAAATGACTCAGGTACTAGTAAAAAGTTAAATTGATTAAAGTCTAATGATATATTTAACGCAGGGTGGTACTTATCGATAGACAATAATGGATCAGGATCGTTAGAGACATTAACATGAACATTTGATAATGCTAAATCTAAGCTAACATTATTGTGATAACAAATATAATTATATTGGTTTGAATTAAATTAAGATAACATACTATTAAAATAAGAATCAATATAAGAATAACAACTAACAGGTAAGGTAGTATTTGTCCAAAATAACGAAGGTAAATTATAATTATCTCATAAGATAATTTTGGTATGAAGATTGTTTTAATTAAGTTCATTCAGAGCAAAAGAAAAACTTCATGCATAATGATATTTGAACGAGGTGAAATATAAACACAGTAAAGTATTTATAAAGTATTATATTAGATAATTGAACTAACTTTTGGAAAGATCAAAAATGTTTATATAGTACCCCATACCACCCCACACCACTACCAGCAGACTTACATAACCCATAAAAACATAAAATTTAACACTTACGAAATATACCTCTACGTGTGCAGATGTTCATACTTCACATATGAACTTTTTAAAGTCAATTTATCGCACTCTGATGTTGCGCAATCTTAGTCACAATTTACAATACTGCATTTATGGTATTTAACCCCAGTATGGCAGTAAATGCCCACCAACACATTACCGAATTTTGAATGAGCAATCGCTTTAAAATAATATTTTTGCCGTTCACACAACCGTGTTGTCTAACAGACGTAATATTACATTTTCGAACAAAATTCACCAAATGTCACATATACTCGTATACATACGATCGTATATATGTAATGTATGTATTCAGTGTTGATCAATTATTGAAAACCACATTCTGTTAGGTGACTGTACAATGATTGATAAATATTTACGCATACGAGGCAACACGCTATGGTGATTTATGCATGAACGTATTATAATATTTTACATTGTGTTCTTTCCTCTGCCCACACCATTCATCTGCCAACACTCGCAGTCTGGCAATCTGGCGACTGATTGATACTTTTCGTATTGGCAAACGTCCCTCGCACGACACACTGCTGCATAATATTCGTAAGTTTCAGAAGTATTAACAACCGTAAATTCAACACCTCGTGTCGTTTATGATTTCTCGTCGACATAATAATCATAATAATAATCACACAATTACGTATTCATGTATGTAGTAAATTAACTTTATTCCTCTGTATACGTATCGGTATTTATTTTTATTATTATTATTATTATTATTATTATTATTATTATTATTATTATT